ACTCTATACTTTATATTCTGCATCATAACATCAATGGTCTCTTTATCTTACCTTCTTGAATGTCGTACACACATGCATATAATCAGAAATTTCAATTTTTTGCAATTGCTGTTGATTGTCCGTTTCATTTGATATTTAAAGCAGCCTCCTGGGTCACAACTTGTTGGAAGGTCAGCTGCATCGCCTTCTGGTGCCACATCCTTTGACAACACAACGTCACCTTTGCCATATGCCAACTCTCCAAGGTCAACTGCGAATGTTATGAACATACCTTCTCCTCAACAGCAGACCCAACAGCAGCAACAGCAACAGCAACAGCAGCAGCAGCAACTTCAGGTCCAGCAAAGGCAAAAATTGATGCAACTACCTCAGCATCAGCAACTCCTTGCTCAACAACAGATGAGGCAATCTCCTATGCAAGGAATAGGACAGGTAATATGCTTGCTGGTACTAAAAGTAAATAATAACACTTGGACAATTTAATCTGTTATAATTTTCTCAATGTTTACTTGACTCATTCTTCAAGACTTAGAATGTTTAGCATCGTCCATCTTTTCCCCTGGGACCTTCTTAGTTCATGAAATCATTATAATTAGATATTAACATTTATGGTACTATTTTAGTCAGAAACTATTCCTCGACTAGAATAGGAAGAAGAAATGCAGTGATGGCAATTTAATGGTCATCTTACTGGGATATCAAAAGAACCATGGCCTATTCAATTATTTTATTAGCGTATTCTTATTGATTAACATCAGATTATTTATGCATGGCTGTTGCAAAATACTTGCCTCATCCATGAATACCATCTACTGATAACTTGAGAAAGACATTTCTAAGTGAACCATAAAAAAGATATTTTAAACTGTAGTCAGTTGTGTTGTAAATTGGGTGACCTCTCAACTCACAACACAAGGAGAGTTATCAATATAGAAGCATCTGAATATAATACTTGGAGGCACAATGCAGACTGTGCTCCTTGATTTCTCTGGGATCAGTTATATTTTATTTTATTTTATTTTATTTTGTAACCATCGCAGATTCATGGACAGCATCAGATGCAGTTTTCACAGCCATTGGCACACCAGCAATTTCAGGGAAGGCAGATGTCTTCTGGTCACATTCAACATGGCATTACTCAAAGCCAGCTTGGCCAAGGAAATCAAATGAATCGTCACTTGAGCCAGTTTTCTGGTGCTGCTAACAGTAGTTTGTTTAATGCTGCGCAGACTACCCCAAGTTCTCAAATGGTCAGATATTTCCATCCCTCATTTTGTTAATATCTTGTGTTCCCTTTTCTTTCTTTCTTAGATGTAGTTGGATTAATATTACCATCAATCGAGTAGATTGCATGAAGTAAATGTTATGCTATTCTAGGTTAATTTTCCACTTTTCCTCAAACGTATTGTTTCGAGTAGTGAAATCACTGCTACTATGTACGGTGAGAAGACGACTTTGACCCTTGCATTGTAGCTGTGTTGTGTTGCTTTTACTGCTACTACGTAAATATTTCTGCTCCTACATGAATGAGCTTATCTTTTCCTTTCTGTTTACAAGTAGCTGTGTTGCTTTACCGAAATTAAACCTGCAACTCCTAGAGTTTCATCTAGGTTGTTCTTTTAGGCAATTTTTGTCCCTATTCTAAACTTGTCAACGTGGACAATTATTGTTGATACTTCTCTCTGGTGACGCGATGCAGCCAATTTATCCTATTACCTACTGATTTCGTTTTATTCAAATAACATTTTTCTAACATAAGACCCTAAATTTCTTTAATTATTATAACCAAAAGATGCATTTTTTCAGATAAGAGAAAATTTCCATTCCATGAGAAAGGAAAATGTATAGAAAGACTAGAGTTGCAAAAAAAATCTCCAGCTGGTCATGAAAACTGTTGGGTAATTACAACCATGATTAGACTATAGAGACTCAAAATACAAATGATACACTAAATCTTCCCAAAATGAGAATCACAAAAGAAATAATAATAATCATAATAAAGTTGCCTCATAGTTGTGAAGCAACCATTTTCTTCCTCTGCAAATGAAATCTGAAAGTAATTTGATGATAACTGAGACATGCATTCCTCAAACTTTAGTTGTAATTTTAAATCACTCATTTTTGTGACATCTGTAGTCTGCAATGATTTCACTAGCAGTTAAATCCTGATCTAGAATTTGACTTCTTCTGACAAATCTTTTTGAGATTTAGAAATTCTTTGGGGCAGCACTTTGATCTGTCCATGACTAATAGAAATAGTATTGTTCAAATATACAGCCTTGGAGATGAAGGCCTATAGGTCAAATTTGCCACGAAACTAAGCTGGGACTTGTATAATACAACAACCTGTTTTAATTTTAACACACTAAAAATTGGGGTTTCAGGTTCCACTTATAGTTCTAAAAAACGTAAATTGACAGTTGACACCTCAATATGATACATTTTAGCTTTATTTTCTTTTAATTGTCACTGAATTATTTATATCTTTTTTTTTTTTTTTTTTCCAGATTCCAAATATTTCAGCTACAATGTCATCGCAACCACTCATGCCACGTGTGCAGGTTTGTTCTAATTTGCTCGTTAAACTTCTAATGTTTTTTTTTTCCAAGTGCTGTCGAGGAGAAGATAGGAGGCTGGGATGTAGGGTGTATGCAAATCTAGACGTAGTCTGTTATTATAGGGTGTATATTAAGCTGGAAAATACAAATGGATGTTGTTTCTTCCTCTTTGTTGTTCGGCTTTAATCTTGTATGATCTTCTGTTTTTCTCAGTCTTTCATAAAAAAACATCCTAAGCTGCTTAGGGACGACAATTACGGGAAATTATCTTTGCAGTTGGTTTATTATCACTGTATATGTTGATTCAGTTCAATAAGGTCTTCCTCTTTTGTGCAAATACTTCATGATCATTCTTTCTGGTAACCTGAGTTTCTTCATAGCAGATCCAAGTGATCAAATATTGCAGCGTTTGTACACCATTTGGCCAAATGTCCAAGATTATTTAAAAGAATTTTTACGTTTCATTCATTTTAGGCTGAGATTTTAGGATTATTTCTAATTCTATGTATAAGCGCAATAATTAATAGTATAAGTAACAAATATACAGAGATTTTCTTACTGCCATATACTACTGATCCAATATGTACCATGTCTTCTACAAACACTAGAGCAGTTCTCACATCTTTTCACAAGCGTATTCTTTATGGCACTATCACTATCATTTTTACATAACTCTAGTCTGTACCCCTATCATTGTTCGAATATTTTTTTCCCCTTCACTTGCATTTAATTTGTTGTTTCAGTATGGGAGCAATCCGCAGCGAAGCCATGCTCAAATTCTGAGTGATCAGAGTATGTAGTCCCTTGGCTCACTGATGTGTTGGTTAAGGCAGATGCATAATAATAATATGGTCTGTGTGTAACATTTCTACGATATTGCTCTCTAACAATCAGCCGGTGTTTATCCCTCAGTGTTCAACATGGGAGGAGGCAGCGCGGGTGGTATGATGCCTATGCAACAGCAACAGCAACAGCAGCAGCAGCAGCAGCTTGCCCCACAAGGTGCATTTGGTAACATGGCAACAAACGCACAGTCTCTCCAATCTGGTATGCTACCACTCCAGAACATGCAACAGACTCACCCTAATTTCGGCCAGCAAAGACAGCAAAACCAGCAATAATGACCACTGTGCGTTGGTAGCCCCTGCATGTAATGCAATCCATTATCTATTTACTGTGTGGTAGTAGAGGAAGATTAATTTATTACTGTTTTGTATATACTGCTGAATTTTGGATTGTGTGTTTACTAGGGTGGGTAAATAATCTGCCCCTTCTTTGGCCCAATGACTTGTTATAGACTAGGCGTAGTTTGGAGGAGTAGAGTGGGGGAGTTATCAACTCCTCAAGTGGGACTACCACTTTTACTCTTTCATCTCTTCTTTCCCTTCTCTTCTCCTCTTCTCTCTCTTCCATTTATTAATTTACACATGGTTATTTAGTGATTTTTTTTTTAATGAATTCTCATGATTATTAATAATTAAATTATAGGGTAAATTATTATAAATATTAAAGTTTAAATTATAGGGTAAATTATTATAAATATTAAAGTTTGAATAGTACCTTTAAATTTATTAAAAAAATATTCTTACATTCAATTTTTAAAAAATATATATATCCTTTTAGTATTTTTATTTTAAAATATTTTTGAACATTTAAAAATATTAATACTAAACTTTAAAAAGTTATTTATGTTGGTATATGAGTGGAAATCATTTTTATCTGTGATTCATAAATCATCTACATCTTTGATTTTCTATCTCCTTTTAACAATTTTTCTTTTTTTGTTCGCTTGACTGACTTCAATCTCTAGAAGTTTCTATTTTTTTTTTAAATGATAGAACGAATAAAAATTTTCATTTATGAGCATTTTCAAATATAAATATAAAAATTTAACATCTTAATGGACAATTTTTTTTTTGAAGTTGGTTCTTTCCCAAATTAAATAAATTAGTGGCAAGTTTTTTTATATTTATGAAATATAGATCTTTAAATAAAGTAGTTAGTTCGTTAGAGGGAAACAACAGGAATTACCAGGGTGTTGAAGTTTTTTATATTTATTAGGTATAGATAAGTAATTTTCGTTCATGTATTGATATCACGAGGTAGGGGGTTGAAGTTTTTTGTATTTTTGAGGTATAGCTAAATAATTTTCGTACATATATTGATAGTATTTTTTTTTTTTTTTTTTAAGATTATGGTTATTAAATGTATTTTTTTAGACAACATTTTATTAATTTAGCCTAATATATAAAATTTTTTAACAAAGATATATATGACTAAAAAGAATCTAATTTAGACTAACTCATATTATAATTTAAGTAATTAGTATTTTAAAATATTACATACTAAAAGACGATTTACAACCTAAGAAAAAAAAAACATTAAAAAAAAAAAAAAACAAAATTCATTGAATATGTTGGTTTTGAAATTTTGATTTACACTCTTAATTGTGCTGCGAGTAGTAGGTCGGAGTGGTTTGGAACGAAATTTGTGTACCCACTTTCCGTTCGTAGCAACGAGGGAGAACAAGAGCATCTTTTATCCATGATATGAAAGTAATTGAAGCAAATTGAAATCTGCGTGGTTGCTATTGTTGAATCTCGTCCTCAGAAGTGGAGAGATTTTCTTAGGTCTTCCAGGTTTGATTCTGAAGTTCGTTCGATCCTTGCTTTCAGTTTCTTCCCTTTCTTATGCCTTCAATTTATGTATGTATTTATGGGATGTGATTCGAACCATTTGCATATCCTTGTTGAATTTTCTCTCCTCCGAAGTATATTGTTCTATCTCCTTCTCTTGTTGGCTTTCGAAGAACACGAAGTTCCAAGGACAGTCTAAGGTTAACTGACAATCCAAGATGACTGGAAAAATGATGACCTGATTTTTTTATTTCCATGTTTATGTTTATGTGGTTGTTCGTGGTTAATTGAAATAAACGCTATCTTGGACTGTAGTTGTATTTTCCCCCGTATCAGCTCCAATTAGGGCAAAAACACCTAATCTGTAGCTTGTTGAAATTTTTTTATCCTCTTAAAGATATCTCTTCTCCTTTTAATAGGCAATGTCTTCCTACGATAATGTTGTGGGTGGGAAGTTGAAGCTTAAAGGGAAAGCTCTTGATGTGAAAGTAGGTGGGGTGAAGAAGAAAAAGAAACTTAAAAAGCATCAAGATCAAGCATCTCGAGAACTGGAAAACGAGCATCCGGCAGGTTTGTTGTTCGATTATTACTGGAATTGTTTGTCTTGGATATGAGTGAATGCATGTTTGCGAATTATCCATGTTATTCTCATGGCAGAGTGTGAAATTAGAACCGGTAGATTTCCACATTCAACATGAAAGAAAAATAACGAAACGAGAATTTTGCAGGGAGACCCTTATATATGAAAAACGATTATGCCCTAGCTCTGTATAAAGAGTTGGGAAGAAAACTCATACAATCTTAGACTTCGAGTCTAACAAAACGCCCACTAAGTTATGAAAAACTAATCCGGCTGGCTCTTCAAAGTAGAGAGTTGTATATTTCCCCCATCATACAGACAAACTATACTTTCGATACGGATACAAAACTTTTGAATTTAGATTTATAGTGTTGTAAGCCAGAGAGTTGTTAAGCATCAGTGCATAAACAAGCAAGAGAATTAACTATTTTAGTTCAGTCCCTATTGTGGGTCCACCATGGTTTAGATCCCTGTTTTGTTGGTTGAATTGATATTGGTTAACTGCCTGCCATAACCTTAACTTCTTTGGGAGATCTTCATTTTAAACGGTTGGTTGATCTTTTTTGGGTTAAAGAACCATTGATTGCTGAAATGAGGAAGGAAGGGAACACGTTAACGTTTCTTTAAGTAGTGAGTTGGTTGAGATAGTTATCTTTATGAATATCTACGTAGGGTAGACATTTTCATGCTCATATACCTTTTCATGGTGGTACGATTCAATAGATTCCTAGCTTCATGTTGTGCAACCATGTTGGTTGATGATAAGAACGTGTCTAAATTTTTTTGTTGTGGGGTTTTTTTTTTGACCTGTTCGTTTTGAAGCACACTGGATTAGTTTTCTACATACAGTAATGAAATATAACTTCTGTTGAGGGTAGTGAAGGACAAGAAAGGCAAACTAATAAGATAGATGCCTGAGTAAGGCACGAATCAAGATCAGGTTCACTTCCTAGAAAGTTACCAAAAAAAAAAAAAAATCTTCCTGCTGCTCTAACCAAATGTCCTGGAGAGTGGCCAAAGCCCCAACAAGCGGACATGTCCTTCTTGACCCATAAAATAGTGAAAAAGCGGTGTGCCACATCGAAAACGTCCTCACACCTATGGTGGACCAACACTTGCATGGCCAAAATACACTACCTAACTGGTTCTCATGGCTGTCTTGTCTATGCTCTGGCTCCCTTTTAAGCATGATAGACAACCGAGAGCTCCAGTTTCGGTTCTCAGTTCATTTAAAATAATAGCAGCCATATAGCTTTACTTTGGACAGCATCTTTGATATGTACCCATGAGCTATAAAATTCCGTTGTCATCACAGTCAATATTGAACTTGGATTGCTGTCAGCTTTTGAAATGCCCGACAATGGCCAGGAAAGCTTAACCAAACTTGGTCAGTGGATGTTAATGTTACATCTTAGATTTGTTTCATATTTATTAGTCCTTTGGAACTTTTCCTTTCCCAAGAATCATGCCAAGACTAGAGATTTAGAATTTGCTTTTGATTGAAGAACTATCTTACTATGAATATATAGATAATATAAGTGATGGCCATACCATTCCAACTTTGAATAGCCTTGCTTAAGAAGAAAGACATCTGAAGCCTCAAGTGGATCCTCAACCCTCATCGTCATTGATGAGTTTTTTTTTTTTTTTTTTTTTCTTTTCCAAAGTTTTTGTTCTCACCATGATGTTTGTGAATCTGCTCTCTTTGGGTGGCAAATGTAGGCGGGAGTGCTGCAAGTGGTGAAATACCCGATGATGCGAACGAGGAGGAAGAAATAGATGAGGCGAACAAGTCAACGGAGGATGGAAAGGTTCCTCATTACGATGACCATCTAACACCAGCGGAAAAACGTTACATCGAACAGAAGGAGAGAATTGATGTTCATAGACTGGCGAAGAAAGCAAATAAATCACATCGTGACCGGATCCAGGACTTCAATCAATATCTGGCGAACATGAGTGAGCATTATGACATTCCCAAAGTTGGTCCCGGCTGATCCATCCCTTCTTTATTTTGGATTTCGTGGTCACTCTGGATTGCTTGCTTGCTGATATGCCAGGCTATATTGTGTTATTGTTAACGGAAGGAACAAACCCAAACCCAAACCCAAACCCAAACCCTTTTTATTTGTGGATGCTGTCTACTTTGTTGTTCTTATGAATATGGATATTGAGACTTCAGTTTGAAATCTGCATCTTTACTGCTTTCCTCTCAGGTTTTGTGGTCTTCCCATTTACATAATGCATGAAATTGATGGCCTTGGACTGTTCATTTTATTCGAATGAAAGGGTAAGGCAAAATATGCTAATATGTTGTGCCTCTGACTGTATCAATTATCATAGAATTAACCAACCGTCAAAAGTCTTGCTTTTTAGTTCCATTTGCCTAATTCACCTCTTTTGAATGAAAACATGTAAAACCCTCCCACCATTTGTTAGTTTTGATTCGAGTCTTTAAATTTCCAATTTTAGTATTTCATTAGACAAGATTCAAAGTTATGTCTAGCCGTTCAAATAACTGAATATGCCAGATATGTCTAGCCGTTCAAATAACTGAATATGCCAGAGTCTATTAGATACAAGAGATACAAGATTGAAAGTTTAAGTTTAGAGCCTATTAGATACAAAATTGAAAGTTTAGAGCCTATTAGACACAAAATGGAACGATTTAGAGCCTATTAGATACAAAATTGAAAGTTTAGGCATATACAAACTTAAAACTTCATGAACTAAACTTAGACTCAGTTTACGCTGAGGAGCAAAAGGAGGAATCTGCCCGAGGGGGGGCTCGCTCTGATTAGCTAGTTGGTGAGGAAATAGCTTACCAAGGCGATGATCAGTAGCTGGTCCGAGAGGATGATCAGCCACACTAGGATTGAGACACGGCCCAGACTCCTACGGGAGGCAACAGTGGGGAATTTTCCGCAATGGGTGAAAGCCTTTTACTAGTTAGTCCCGATAAAGCCTCCAGAATTACGCTTCGTTCGTAATTTTATATAAATATTGAATTTGATGGGTGAGAAGTTAAATGTGTAAATGGAGAATTTTGAATGCGTCATAAATTGCATATTTATAAAGCAATTGTTTAAAATTCAATCACTGTTTTTTGGACCAAGAAATCATAAATCATAATCCACCACCAAGTATAGATTGGGCTAATCCAACCCGGACTCCAATCGGAAGTCTGTAGAAGGTTATGCACCAATGCGGTGACGGGATTCAGAATTAGCCCCTGGATATCATCGTCTTCCAAACCCGACCAACGAATCCGGTTGAGCAGTAATCTCGGTAACTTCGTTTCTTCTTCTTTTCTAGAATTTGATTCATCAACATCTGATTTTGGATCAGATTCTCGAGTAGAGGAGTTAATGCGTCTTATTTTGGATTTTTTCACTTCGATTTTCAATTCTTGCACTATCGAATAATCCCCCAAATCATGATTGTTCATAAATTGTTCGTAAGTTGTTCATAAATTGTTCTTAAACTGCTTCATAAGTACAACGCCGCACTTCTCTCTGCTTTAATTCCTTTATGATCATTGCCATTTGAAATTTGGAGGACTTATGATTTGCCCAGTCGTCAGAGATGGACTTGTCGTTCGTCTCCCCAGTGTATCCTTCGATCCAAAAGAGAGCTTTCAGTGGACGTAACCGATTTTGCACGGTGCGTAGGGAAGAGCCTTGTAGAAGAATGTTTCAATGTTTGGCAACCGTTGTTAGCCAAACATCTCAGGTTTCGTTCGTCTTCTTCTCCTTATTTTCCCATTTCCTTTTAATTTTCTGCTCTTCTCTCCATTTTGTTCATGCTCTTGGCATCTTACCAGACATATAATTACGGGTTGGAAACCAAAAAGAACGATCTTCTGGTTGCCGTTCAAGAAACACAACGGGGCCTCGTCGCATCATCTGATCAACGTTGTGCCATTGAGGACGCTCTGGTCTGCTTTCTTTTCTGTTTCTCTTTCTATTCTATACATAAATCATAATCCTTCAGCCTGATTCCATGTTGGTTCCAAGTAATGGTTGTAGGTCAATGTAGAAACGTATAACATGGGTCTTCCTATTGACCTGATGAAGTTGGATGGCACATGGCGGCTGCAGTATACTTCTGCTCCTGATGTTCTTATTCTCCTAGAAGCTGCAGCCAGGCTTCCTTTCTTTCAGGTTCTTACATCTCCTACTTCACACTGGCTGAAAAAATACTTGTATTTTCTTTTTAAAGTAGGCCATATTTTTGTTTTTGGATGAAGAATCAAATTTTCATTGAGAAAGAATGAAAGAATATAATGCAAGGGCATCTAAAATAACAAGTCCACAAAAAAGGTGGACATTCTCAATGAAGATATTTTAGTCAAGCACAATCAGATCTAACCTATATTACAAAAAGATTTCGTCACCGATGCCGAAAGAGAAACATAAAACTTAGTGAGGGTCCAAACATCACAAGGATCTCTCTCCAAACCTCTAAAGGTTTTATTGTTTTTTTCTCCCAATGACTCCTTTAAATAGCTCAAACATAGCTCGCCAAAGAAACCTCCCTTTGTTACAAAAGCGAGGGTGACGGAGGAATTCCTCGATCATCTCCCTATAATGTTAGTGTCTAGCAAATTAGACTCCAAATGCAACAAAGAAGTAATTCCAAATAGTCTGTGAAAACTTGGCTTCATAGGATATGATCCTGGTTTCTCTATGCATAGTGCAGGTTTAGAAGTGATTTTGAAATTGTCAAAACCACTTTTGCTATGTTCAAACTCACTTCGAAACATGCACTATATCATTCAATATCAATTTTAATTACATGAAACATGACCTAACAAAAGTGATTTTAACCATTTTAAACTCCCAAACAGCCCTAAATCCTCTTTCCCTGCTCTAATCATTTAAGTCCTCTCTGAGGAGAGGTTTACCGACTTCCACCTTGGTGAGCCACTATATCTTGTTGATCTAGGGATTTGTGTTTAGTGCAATCTTGTTTACTTTCTTTTGCCTAAAATTTTGTGCTTCCAAGGTATCAATGTTGGTATCTTTTTGTTATGGTTTTCGTTTTCCTATTGTTAGAGGAAAAATAACTTTTCTCATACTTATATTCTTATTGCATTTCTACTTTGTCATTTGGCTACACGTGACTCATGGCTGCACCGGCAGATTGGGCAAATCTTCCAGAAATTTGAATGTCGTGACAGTTCGAATGAAGGAATTGTCCGAAATGTGGTTCGCTGGAGTATCCCATCACTCTTAGAGGTATACCATAAACAAAGTATGGCAATCATGAATTGCAGTTATAAGCTAGACTGATGGTCTTTGGTGTCCGCTCATTTCCATTTGCTCTCATTTCAAGCCACTGTTATCAAACAAATCTAATAATATGCTGTCTTACCCTCCTAATTGAAATTAGAGAGGCTTGAACTTCCTCCTATTCTCTTTGAGCTTTTTGGTTCCTGTCTCTAATCTAACTCCTCACCCCAATGAGGAAAATGGTGAGAATCTAGTTGGTATTTGGTGGATACCTTGGTATTTTATAGAGCAATGCTTTATTTTTGGCCTTTCAGGAACAGGAAGGAGCAACTCTGCTTGTTTCTGCCAAATTTTCGGTTGTTTCTTTGCGTAATATCTACCTCGAATTTGAGGAGGTCAGTTTCTGCATCTGGTGTTGCTTTGCTTTCCTTTTGGTTTGCATCACCTTGTGAATATTAGATATGTGAGAATTGCTGGCCTGCAAAGAACCATGTATTTCTTCGAACATTTATTTGTGCTCGCTTTCTGTCCTCAACTAGTTAGATCTTTGATGGTTTTCTGGAGTTCCAAGTAGTTTCATTTGCCCTTGTTTCCAGTTCTCTGCATTTTAGATTCAATTGATGTGCTAAATTGCCCCTAATCCTGACCAAGAATTGTTATTTTTTACAGCAGTATTAAGATTACTTGAAATGACATGAATAGCAAGAAAAATAAACTTTTCAACTAGTTATGCTGGAACTTTTTGTAATATAATATCTGTATGAAGAACGTGTGAGAAACATTGAAGGGAAGGTAATTAGAGACATTTTTTTGGGTCTTCAAACTCTAATATCCTGGGCAAGGAAATTCCGACCGCCTCGTAGAGTGATTTATCTGCATCTTTAAATTCTTTGGGATACACTTCGAAAAGTATTGTAGTTGTGAGATATCTGAGAAATTTAATATCGTCTTGGAGAGATTGATTTATCTGTATCTGTAAATGCTTTGGAAACAGTTCTTAAGTATTTAGTATTTTGTAGTAGTGAGATATATGTGGATTGGAAACAGTTCTCAAGTATTTAGTATTTTGTAGTAGTGAGATATATGTGGATGTTATGTTGCAAGCTGTTTGTGGCAGATCAGTGTCCAAAATATAAAGATTAGCGAGGAGCTGCAGGCTTTAATTGCTCCAGCAATACTACCACGGTCATTCATAAGTCTTCAGGTAAACAACATTCAACTAAAACATTGTTGGTTGAAGCTTGATGTATACATACATACATGTTTGGCTGAAACACGAAATGACGATTCAAATGGTTAAATAAACGCTCAGATCCTGCAATTTCTTCGGGGGTTTCAAGCTCGGGTTCCTGTGAGGAATTCAGAGAGGTAAATCTATGTGTGTGACGGAATGGTAAGAATTGTTGTTATTAGATAATGATCCTAAGAATGGTTGGGTTGGGGGGTTGCAGGAGACGATCAGTTGGAGGACTGTATTACCTCTCATATTTGGACGGGAATATGCTGTTGGGTCGTGCGGTGGGTGGCGGCGGAGTTTTTGTGTTTACCAGAGCTCAACCTCTCCAGTGCTAAACCAGCCAGCAAAGAAACAGACTCTTACAAAATTTGATTAGTTCGCCCATTATCGTTATGGATATGGATTAAGGTTCATTGTTCTTTGATCTTGTACTCTACTAACTATTACCTAAGTATATAATTTTGTATGTAATTTTTGGTTCTCGTTCGTTTAAGAATGATGCTTTGATACTATGTTAAGAATGTGAAACAAAATAAAATTGAAAGTCCAAAAACATAGGTAGGATCGAATCAAAAGTCCCTCCACTATGTTAAGAATGAGAAAAAACATAGGTAGGATCGAATCAAAAGTCCCTCTACTATGTTAAGAATGAGAAACAAAAACTATGTTAAGAATGAAACAAAAATAAAATTGAAAGTTCAAGTAGGATCGAATCAAAAGTCCATCGAAACAAATGTCTAATTT